TGAGGAGATCACGAACAAGAGTTTAGTCACAGGTTACAATTTTCAGTTTTAAAATTTATTTTGCTATTCAAAAAGTAATTCTTTAAGTATAATACTTATTATATCTTCTGAATGCATTTATTATATTTACTAACTGTACTTAGTTTTCTTGTTGAATTACATTTTTATTAGAAAAATGGATGATATGAATATTTTTAATCGTTTTGACAGATCACATTTTATTTCATTTTTATTTTATACCCCTCGTTGAACAGCCGACCCAATTTTTGGGTTTGCGACTACTGTTCAACTACGTAGCCTTGTAATTTTGAGCCCAATCTAGAAGACAAGGGAACTCTTGCATCAAATATTGGGAGAAATTTGCCTTCGTGGAGGCCTTTTTTGTAGAACTAAGCCGCATTTGCGTTGCATGGAGAGGAAGAACACGAGAACCTCCCACTAAAACCGTGTGTCTGGCGCAGCATGTCCTCTCTGGACCTTGCGCCATTAAAACTTACATTCAATTCAATTCAACGAGAACCTCCCACGGCTAGCCTGACGGCAAAGGGAGTAACCCATGACCCGTCTACCACTGTGGGTATTTACGTCAACACTGTGGTCGGTGCAAGCCGGATGTGAAATCCAGTTCACCTCATTGGAAGGCGAACGCTCTATCCCCTGTGCCATCGTGGCTAAGGGATCACAGTTGGTTAGAATTAACATCGGTCGGAATGACCAATATCTATCAAAAATAGGTACATCTCAAATATTTTTTTTAATTTTTGGTGACTAAGCACATTTTTTCTACCTAATTTTGGCACGATCTGTTTTTATATTCTGCACATTTTTACTTACGTTTCNTTATAGGTGCGTACTTGAAAAAGACGGTCTTACTTACTGACAATTCTTCTTCAATTTGAAAAGATGTTGCTTCACCTGTTAATATCCTATAGATTTTCTTTATTGTTTGGAAGCCAGTGTAATAACGAAAATTGATAAGAAATAATAAAAATTGTAAAAAATTAACAGAAAACTTTAAAAAATGCATTAAAATGCAAAATACGCCCCAAAATTTCAAGAAAAATTCCCTTATAAATCTGAAAAAATGCTCTAAAAGACAAAAAATGTCCAAAAATTCAAAAAAATGCAAATGTCATCAAAATCCGGGCCTTAGTAATGACCTTTTTAAACTGGGTACTGGTAAACAATATATTTTACGAACAATTTAATAAATTACTTTTCTATGAAATCGGATTAGTGATAATATGTTAAATCGTAGAAATTTAATTTTACTATATCTAACTTAATTTCAACAAAACGATTTTATCTTGATGAGGCTTAATTATATATTTTTTTAATTAATAATCGATATTAGAACTTTTTTTCCGGATTTGATTTAACTTTATTTTTAACTTTGTAAATTTTATTTCATGAATAATACTTCCTGAACATGTAAGATATTTATAATTACAATTATTTCAATTCTGTCTGATGTATCTGTGTTTGGCTTTAGATTTCTGTTGTTCGTTTAGTTCCGTTATTTTGCTACTCCAATTATGTTACTCTCAGAATCCTCCATGTGCGAAGGGTATTGCTATACCACAAAACATTCTAATATACGGAGGTAGCGGGTTTGAATCCTCCCTAGATTTATCTTAAAGCTGTTTTAATCTAATTTAAGCTTCATCAATTTGACAATCATTTATCAGAAGTTTTTTGTACTCTATCTGTAAAAATGCACGTACATATGTATATAATTGAAATTTAAATCATCATTTTCATAGTTAGCCAAACAGTCCAATGTCTTCCTCGGAAGATTCGACTTATGACTTTCGATTTATATCTGATCTCCAATTCTTTTCATTAATTACAAGAAAATCAGACTCCACCGAGTCAGGCCATCTCAACCGCGGCCTATCCTGCTTTCTTGTTCGGAATTTAAATAGTCAAATGTAAATTCCTATCGGCTTTTGAATGTAAACATTTACTGGCTTTTAATTAAATAGTCGAATGCAAATTTTATTTGGTAGCGACTAACAACACCTCCGAAAAATAAATAATAGCCCTTAAAAATATAAACTGTGCAACTAATATAATGACTTCATAGGGCAAATATTGATTTAAAATCCTTCCTGGTTCTTGTATTTCAAACAAATAATGTTTGATCTCATTTAGGTAGTGTACATGAAAAGCTTGGAACAATAAGGTAGGCGAAACTTTTTTCAAATGGAACATTTTTATCCTTTAGAATACTTCGTCTACTTGCATTGTTTTCTGGTAGATACTTTACAAGTTTTAGAAATTTCCCTTAGATAAAAGCAATGACACGAAAATCTTAAAAACACAATTTCTGCACAATATGAAAATGTGACTTATCATTATATATTGATACACAACCTTCATATATATATATTTGTTTTTAAAAACAACATAATGTATTTAAAAGCTTTAATTCTGTCCGCGTGTTATGCTTTGTGACATACTTACTTATCTTTATTTTTAATTAATAGTACAGTTTTTGTCAATTTTTATGACACAAAAATGACAATCTGAAATTTTAAGTGCTTTCCTTAAATTTGAATTCACAGTTATTCTGATTGAATTCATTACGCGACAGTCTCTGCAGAAATGTGCAACTCATCGAATGCGCATTACATCGTCATTTCTGATCTAACAACCTTAGAAAGCAATAAACTGTTCTCCAGGTCAAATGACCGGTTGTGGTAGAAATAGCATACCTGCCAACTTTTACGCATTTGGCGTAAAATTTTATTTTTATATCTAAAGTGGTAGTAAATATGTACTATTTCTTCTTTTATAAACTAAATTTTTAAATAATTTTCATCATCACTATTCTTGAAAAAATGATGCATGTATATTAATAAGTGTTACTATCATGGTAAGCAGCTTAAGCCTTTTCAAATACAGCTTATTTTTTTTGCTTAAAATTGAAATTTTTATTCCATTTTAATACCACTGGGAAAAATCATAATGTAAGGGATTAAAAGTTGGCAGGTATGAAATAGGTATACGACACGTATTATTCGAAAAACAAAATACAAAAGAAGAAGAATAGAATATTAACTGTATATAATGGTTAGAAAAAATCATTGTCAAATGTGCAAAAACGATACGATGATCAGCGCATTTTCGATGCAAAAGTTCTTAAATGGTCTTTTGACCGGTTATGGTGTGCTCTGTGTTAAACTGAAATCTGCCTACTTAACGAGGACCCTATACTACTCGAGGAAACCTTCTTTAAACTTAGTACAGTAGGGAACCGATTATCCGGAACGATCGGGACCATCGCTATTCCGGATAACTGATTTTTCCGGTTTCCTGAATCGCTACAGAGAGCTGTTTTTTTTTCATTGTTAAACCCAACTAAAAAAAAAATGTTAAGAAATATTCTTAAAAAAGAGAAAAAAACGATGAAGTAATTCACTAATGATTATTTCCAAAATGATGGTAAGGTAAACATCTTTCAAAAAAGAAAAATCCTAAAATCTTATGAGGAAAAAAAAATTTTTTTTTAAAATATGGAGGGAAAATTTATCGAATTTCGTTCCGGTTTTTTGGTTTTTTGGTTTTCTGATTTCCGGATAACGGGCTCTGTACTGTAATTTAAAATACAGAAGGAAAAAAAGTGAGTTTAGATAAACCAAAATTAATCTAAGAATTTTCACATCTTGAATATATTGTTGAAACTTGTAGTTTATTCTAATGTATATCTGATCTCGCATTTTTCTATACTTTAAATTACTAATGTAGTTGAAGGAGAATTTATCTTGAACGGTTTCGCACCCTGTATAGCGTCCTCTAACGCACTCTGCAATTATGTTAATTAAAAATCTTCATAAACAAAACAATTTAAGCTTTAATAAAATTTACGCATTTAGTTTTTTAACCCATTTCCATAAAAATACCAAGGAGAGCTAATAAAATGAACTTTAAATATAATAAACTTCTTATCTTAATTTCTCATCATAAAGTAGGCATGATGATGTTTGGAACAACATAACAATTTAACTAATTTTTAACTTAAAATTTAATATTTATTTAAAATCTTAAATTTAGTTAATTCCTTATAAATAAAAATGAATTCTGCTAATAACGGAAACTATATTAGTTAGATACATTCTGTTGAATTTTTAGTAAATAGGGTGAAAACTTCTGTAGTTATGGTATTAGGTGGGCTGCTCTGAGAATAGGAAATCTTAAATTTAGTTCATTCCTTATGAATAAAAATGAATTCTGCTAATAACGGAAACTATATTAGTTATATACATTCTGTTGAATTTTTAGTAAATAGGGTGAAACCTTAGTATAATCAATGTGTGACTTCAAAGCAAAAGAAAACATGTAAAATATTAATTATGATATGGTTGTGTTGCTTAAAAATAGGGTTCAGCAAATTTAAATCTATGTATTTAAATAAAGTAGATTTCATCATAAATTTTATCATTTGTAAATATTTTAACTCAATGCAATTTTCTGCAGTAGTTTTTTTTAAAGAAGAACTATATTCTTTTTAATTTCTTGTTGAAATTTTATGAAACATTTATGTGTTTTTTTTTCTTTCAAAATTTTAATTAAAAATGATTGACTACAGACGCTTTCTTTTGTAGTGTCTGTTGCTTATTTAATCAGAATTGGTTTATGACAAACTCTCTATTGAAGAAGAAAAAACATTGTGTATAAATATTTAATAATCTGCATTGGTCAATATGGATACAGTTTTGTGATATATAAACATGCTCCACCTTTATCGTGATAACATATGAAATTATAATAATTATATGATGTATTTACCATATCGTATAATTATCATATCATATAACATCATGATATTAATTATGATTATATTAAAAAATGCAAAATATTTGAAAGAGCATTAATATAATGAATGATTATTAATAGTATGATTCGTAACAGAATCATGAAATCAGTTGGTTGCATTATCATGCTACATACCGATTGAAAGAAGAAAATATATTCTAAATTGTAAAAAATAATTATGCTTTTGTGATTTTCCAATTATTTTTAGATACAGATGTTTCTGCTTTATGTAAAGAATATTTACAAAGAACTGCCTAATCACTTGCATCTTATATTTGAACTACGACCTACTCCAAATGTAAAAGATTTATCGGCAACTACGTTGGAACTTTTATTGAAAGAAACATTTACCATAACACAGATTCAAATTGAGAAAAGTGGAAAAAGAATCCCGAATTCAACTACCCAGATGGTGAGTAAAAATAATTTTAACGTCTGTGAATCAGTTTTATTAGTTATTAAAATAATCATTATTTCATATAATATGAAAATTTAGGTCTTGTGTTTAAAACCTTTTTAAATGCATGTAGGTTACATTTTATTTTCGCTTTTAATTCCTGTAAGCGATACAAATTTTTTTTTCGCTTTCATTTCCTGAGTAAGCTATAAAAATAGTTATTTGGCTAAACCATTATAAAATTTAAACAATTTGTCGTAGCTTTGGTAATATTTAAAAATTTGCTTATTCACAAGTATGAAAGGGTTTCCATTCCTAAAAAGCCATAAATTTAAATATGGTTTTAGGAGCCCATAAAAAGGTCTGTTTTTCTTTCTAAATCTTCTTATAGCTCATTCATATTTTAATTTTGAAGACTTCAATTGCATTTTATAATTGTTTTCATTATTATTCCTAATGCTATTAAATTTCAGAAGTGATATTCAAGTAAAATTAAAAAAGTTATGAAGTAACTTAATTTAAAAATTTAATGTGAGGAGCATTTTTTTTTCTTCTAATTTAATTCTAAAACATGATCAAAATCTTAATTAATTCGAACTTCGGGTCAATTTTTAGTAGTATTTGCTTTAACATCTCAAAAGCATGCATACATGATCTAAAAAAAATCATGTATGCATGCCTTCAATCTGTATAAGCCTTCAAAGTTAAGGAAAAATTTTAGTATTATTATAATAGGGGTGCACTACCTTTTGAAGTGAAGGGACATGCGCAGCAGATTGACCTATGAAGGGTTGCATGCCCAAGAATTTAGACAGGCATGTTGACAGCAATTATAGGTAGTAATTGTTTTATAAACATCATTGTTCTAGGCACTAAATTCTTTTTATCAGTTAACCTTGTAATATATTTATATAAAATTAAATGCTATTAAATGTTTAAAATTAAAAACTGATTACCCAAGGAAACAAAACACAATCAGAAAACCAGAATCAATTTATGAGAAGAAAAAGAATAACAGATAAATAGAAATAAATAAAAATAATAGGAAAATTCATGTTTTTTTTTTACCACATTATAATTTTTTTTACCACATGCAGAAGTTCATTTAAACACACATTTTAACATTAAAATTTTTTAACGTTCATAGAATTAAATTTAAAAAAGAAAAAAAAGTATTCTAGTTAATGAAATAAATGCAAGTTAAATTCTTTTGTTTATANTTAAAAATGATTAAAATTAAAACAAGACCCTTTCAGAGCGAAATAACATTCAACATTTAGTAGGGAATATACTCAAACTTTAAAACTTTAATTTTATATAAATTATAAGAGTAGGGGCTAGAAGAGAAAAGAAAAAGAAAACATTAATTTTGATCTTAAGAATCTATTTTTTAATTATTATTAAATAGTATCAATTTAATCTATGGATTTATCAACTTAATTACAAGAACTTACGGAGCTACTTATGATTTTAAATTTTAATTATACTATTTTGGAATAATCAGGTACAGTACAAACCTTAAAAAATTAAACTTTTTAAAATTTTTATTTAAGAATTTTAATCCTTTGTTCGATGTCTTATCCCACAGTTTTGAATTTCCTCTACTTATTTAGCTTTTTTGTTGAATTTTTAATACAAAGCTTTTAAGAGTAAACTTTTTCTAAATTAAGCTGAAGATATTTTAATTTTAATGATAACAATATGTTAATTTTCATGAAAATTAAAATGTTGCTTAGAAAGTCAAGCATTGTTAATCTTTCACTGTATAATCATTAAATTAAATAAATATGAAAGATTTACATACAATTTCTTTTGACTACAGATTGCATGATTTTTTTTTTACATTTACATTTTATAATTTTTTTTAAAACATGCAGCTGACTTAACTGTCTTTAATTATATATTCAAGCTAAAAAAAAGGAATTTAAATTTAGAATTTGGAAATTTACTTTACAAGCTAAGTTTTTATTGTGTTTCAATTTGAATGACTTACAAAAATTGAAAAATAACCTTGTTAATCATTGACAAGACACTGTATTAATGTAATATTTCTTTACCTGTGTCCTTTTACATTGGGTTAGCTCTCTGCCTTGCTGATTTTGGAACTTGCTCTTAGATATTCTAGCTATATAATTCAAAACCTGTTTTTTTTTTTTCTTGAGATAAAGATTAGAGTTGTTAAATTTTTTTTATTAACAAACAATTTTGTATTGAATTAAAATATTTTGAAAATAAACTTTAATTTTTATACAAGTATTTTCTATGATACACAGACAATTTTTTAATTTATCCTTTTCAAAAAAATAAAAATTCATATGAAACTTAGAAATTGAAAATTTGATTGATGCATTTTAAACAGAAGGATCAAGCCAGAATCAGTAAGAATATTCCTTAGGTTTCCAAAACTCGTGAATTGTATTTTATTATTTTTGAAAATTTTGAATTTTTTTCTTGTTTGTTTTTTTGATAGAATTATTAAAAATATTGTTAAAAGAATTATTAAATTAAGAAAAATGTCACGTGAAAAATATGAGCTGGATCATTCAAAAAGTTAACTTTCAAATGATTGTTTGCTTTTCAGCAACCGAAGGGACTTTGAGCAAGCTCCCTGTCCCTGAACTCACCCATTCTTTTATGAATGTCATACTTTGTTGCTTTGAATACATAATGAAGGCATAACAATCTATTGTATCAATAAAGTTTAACTGGTAGTTCTCTTAGTCAAATTAAATAACATGGTTCTCCAGTTTTATGTGTGTTTAAAAAATGTTAAACTAAAAATTAAAAAATTACTTTCTTCTATACTTTCTTGCACTAAGAATTGTTACTTTGTGATTTTTCTTTTTTTATATTGCTGATATGTTTGATTTAATTTACAGGTCATTTTAATCCCAAAAGCTATGTCCTTAAAGAAACTGGCAGAGCTACCTATAATTTTTGTCTTGATGTACCAGCTATATAAAATGAGTGTTCATAAAGATGTCTAAGAATTTATACCATTGATAATGACAACTATTACTTTACAACCCACAACTCAACAGAGGTAACTTAATTTTAATATTACTTACATATTTTTTGATAATAGAAAGTTTAATATTAGTGACTATGCTTCAATGTTGAAATAGTCTATGAAGTGATAAATAATTGANTTAAGAATTTTAATCCTTTGTTCGATGTCTTATCCCACAGTTTTGAATTTCCTCTACTTATTTAACTTTTTTGTTGCATTTTTTATACAAAGTTTTTAAGAGTAAACTTGTTCTAAATTAAGCTGAAGATATTTTAATTTTAATGATAACAATATGTTAATTTTCATGAAAATTAAAATATTGTTTAGAAAGTCAAGCATTGTTAATCTTTCACTGTATAAACATTAAATTAAATAAATATGAAAGATTTACATATAATTTCTTTTGACTACAGATTGCATGATTTTTTTTTTACATTTATGTTATATAATTTTTTTAAAACATGCAGCTGACTTAACAGTCTTTAATTATATATTCGAGCTAAAAAAAAGAATTTGAATTCAGAATTTGGAAATTTACTTTACAAGCTAAGTCTTTATTGTGTTTCAATTTGAATGACTTACAAAAATTGAAAAATAACTTTGTTAAGTCATTGACAAGACACTGTATTAATGTAATATTTCTTTACCTGTGACCTTTTACATTGGGTTAGCTCTCTGCTTTGCAGATTTTGGAACTTGCTTTTAGATATTCTAGCTATATAATTCAAAACCTGTTTTTCTTTTTTTTCTTCTTTTAAATCTTGAGATAAAGATTAGAGTTGTTAAATTTTTTTTATTAACAAACAATTTTGTACTGAATTAAAATATTTTGAAAATAAACTTTAATTTTTTATGCAAGTATTTTCTATGGTACGCAGAATTTTTTTTATTTTATCCTTTTCAAAAAAATAAAAACTCATATGAAACTTAGAAATTGAAAATTTGATTGATGCATTTTAAACAGAAGGATCAAGCCAGAATCAGTAAGAATATTCCTTAGGTTTCCAAAACTCGTGAATTGTATTTCACTATTTTTGAAAATTTTGAATTTTTTTCTTGTTGTTTGTTTTTCTTGATAGAATTATTTAAAATATTGTTAAAAGAATTATTAAATTAAGAAAAATGTCACGTGAAAAATATGAGCTGGATCATTCAAAAAGTCAACTTTCAAATGATTGTTTGCTTTTCAGAAACCGAAGGGACTTTGAGCAAGCTCCCTGTCCCTGAACTCACCCATTCTTTTATAAATGTCATACTTTGTTGCTTATAATACATAATGGAGGCATAACAATTTATTGTATCAATAAAGTTTAACTGGTAGTTCTCTTAGTCAAATTAAATAACATGGTTCTCCAGTTTTATGTGTGTTTAAAAAAATGTTAAACTAAGAATTAAAAAATTACTTTCTTCTATACTTTCTTGCACTAAGAATTGTTACTTTGTGATTTTTCTTTTTTTATATTGTTTATATGTTTGATTTAATTTACAGGTCATTTTAATCCCAAAAGCTATGTCCTTAAAGGAACTGGCAGAGCTACCTATAATTTTTGTCTTGATGTACCAGCTATATAAAATGAGTGTTCATAAAGATGTCTAAGAATTTATACCATTGATAATGACAACTAATACTTTACAACCCACAACTCAACAGAGGTAACTTAATTTTAATATTACTTACATATTTTTGATAATAGAAAGTTTAATATTAGTGACTATGCTTCAATGTTGAAATAGTCTATGAAGTGATAGATAATTAAGTAATTGTCTCTTTGTTTGCCAAATTACTCTTAGATGATAATTTATCTATATAAGATAACTAAGAAATCTCTGGAAGTATTAAAAATATTGCACTTGCTTTAAATTCCAGAAATTGGAAGCAGTTTTCAGTTGATAATGATCATTGTCAATATTTACATAGCTTTTCATTAATCTGGCATTGATTCTCATATTTGCTATAAAGTATTTGTTTTATTAAACTTTCCTGTTTCCAAATAAAAACTAATTTAAGTTTTGATATGTGAAATATCACTAAAATATATAATTTTGATTAATTTCAGAACAGTCATTAGAAAATAATTTTCTAATTTTATAGAAAAACTCATACCTCCACTAAAGTTTCAATTAATTCACTGCATGTCCTATATAAGATAACGATAATGTATTCTCTTTGATAAAATACATCTGAATGTGGATATGTAATTTTCTAATTCTTTTTCTGTTTGGATCAAATCACCAAAACTTAGAATATAATTTTTTTTTTAAATATCTTACAATCAGCTCATAATTTAATTAAGAAATAGTTAATCTGAGAAATATTTGTCAATATTACAAAAAATTTTATATTTTTTAACCTTCTTAAAAAATAAAAGCTTGTTAATTCTTTTTAATTAAAGCAAATCTTGTATCCAAATGAAATCAGATTTATTTTATTGGCCTCATTATTCTTATACTTGATTGAAGCTGGAATGTCTTTTTTTTTTCTTTGAAAAGGCTTGCAGCAAAAATATTGCAAAGTGTGAGTAAGTTTTTTTCTAAATATCTTAAAACGATGTCATATATTCAACTCAAAAAATAGTCTACAGAATATTGACGATATCGTGTATATCATATTTTATTACTTTGTTACACTAATTAAAAATAAAACTTTCTTAATTGAAACAAACATTTTACTATGGAGTTCAATATAACCTATTAAGTGATCAGCCCACTAGGTATACCAAGGCTATAATTAACACCACTCCTGCATCACCTTTTAATATACTGACCACTTCTCAAACTAGGCCATCAAATTGGTACATTACAAATGGTCAACTTGCATGATTTTCGCTGTAAAATCTATTTTATTGATTTTGATTTTTATCTTGATTGTTGTTTTTATCCTTGACTCGTTTGTCATTTTAATTTTATTTTCATAATGTTTACAGCCAAAATATTGCAGAAAATATAGAGAAAAACTTTATAAATTAACTATTTGCATGCAGGATATACCTTAATGTCTTTCTTTTTTACTTATTTTATATTTTATACCAAATGATCAAGTCAGAGTGGTTTTATACAGTAAAACTCTACATTATTGTTTTTTACTCATTCAATTGTATTGTGTGAAAAAAATTTATGTTCAATGAGTAGGTGGGACAAAGTTAAACATTAAATTTTGAGCATTTAATTTGTTCTTGGGGAGAAAAAGCAGACAAAATGCAGAATGTTTGCAGAAATTTTATTTTTTGTTTTGTTTTATTTTAGGAGAAATCCATCTTTCAACAAAGAAGTTTATGTTAACTTTATGGCTGCATAGATAAAAACATTATCCTTTCTAGCTTGCCTAGTTAGAATATATCAAGTGAGTAGGTTAATGACTAATATATTAAGAATTATTCATTATTTTTTTAATAAATAATTTTTTTTATCCCGTGTTTTTAAGGAAATCCCTTTGCTGCTTAGAAGTACTCTAATGTGGTATAACAATGTTGAGCACACTACTAAGAAATTTTAAATAAATAATAATGTGATCTGTAATAAATAAAAGTTAAGCAAATTTTGAATAAGTTTTCTGTAATTACTTAAAACAATGTCAATTTTTTTGGTTTTATATCAAACATTGTCACTCACCGGTGACTGACACGGCCAAAACAAAAGGTTCAGTGTCAGTCACTGATGGCTGATGTGGACCTCAACATGTTGAAAGACATTTTAATACTCACGGATATGATTTCCAAATCAACTCAGAGGTCAAAGGCACCAAGCTATCCATGTGCTGGAGTGGGGATAGATTCTCAATTGTGGCATGAAGTTTTAGATCCATAAGTGTGAGCTGTTTTAGGAAGTGAAAGCAATTTGTGCTTAACATTGACAAAATCATGCCATTGGTTAGGAATTGTAGAATTTTGACTTTTATGACCCTCCTGACCTACAACAGGCTGTTGTGAGAATGATTTACTACACTTTAATGATTTCAGAATGTATGATTTGTTGTCAACAGGGGGATTACTTTCAAGCAAATTAATGAGCTATCTTTACATTGAGTACTTAATAATGTTAGTTGAAAAATTAATTTTCCAGGCTCATTTTTTCAATACATTTTGCATTTAACATATTAATCGCTAGTTAATTTTTTTAGTAATTGTATAATGAAACATAGAATATGATAAAAAAATTCTGCACAATGCATTAGGAATCAAATTTTTGACTTTATAAATTAAATAGCCCTGATGCTGAACTATTTGCTCTTTGAACATTAAATAGAGGTAATGTGCAAAGTATATTACAAAATATATTATCTAGAACTCATTAAAAGGGAAAATAAATTGAAAAGTCATGCTAATAAAAATAAAGTGAACTTGATATGATATATTTGATTAATCCCCCCCCCCCTATTTCCTTGCCTACTTGTTTATTGGTTCAAAATGAAGGAGGTAATTTATTTTTTTAGAACTATTCTGACTACTGGAATATTTTCTGATTATTAAATTCATTTTATTATGTTGTGAACATAAAAAAAAATTCTGCCCATTTTATTTTATTTTTTACTACTGTGATTTAACTGTATCATTAATACTGGAACCTCCAATTATAAAATCACTGAATTGTAAAATTAGCTGCTTTTTACTATTAAATCTGCAAGAACGGAATCATTTTAATATCAAACTATGTGAAAACCATCGTCTAATAAAATTATTATTACAGTTGTGTAAAGACAACATTTTGTAAGGCTTTTGTTTATAACAATGAAAAACTTTGCTGTTTTTTGTTTGAATTATTAGAATTTTCTATATTCTCAAGTTTTGAATACATATAAGTAATAATTTTTTTGTCTGTTCTCTATGAACAAAGTTATTGGTGTTGATTGCATTTTGTGTTGAAATTGAAGGGCAAAAGTTAAAAAAAATAGGAAAAAGAGAGTCTAAAGGAATCCAAAAGAAAATTATTTATGTACTAAGAAAAATTATAAAATGCCTATCATTCAATGTCAAGGATCCTCAATCATTCAATGAGGTAAATTTAACTTCAATGGATTTCAAAAGAGCTCTTGATTTCTTAAAATGAACTTTACAGAAAAGAAAAGGATATTTAACGTTTTAAAAACTCTTATATGCTTTCAAACTATGGTGAATTTTAATTTGAAATTTTGCTTATCAAATATAATATTTTATAACCCTTTAAAAAATGTAGCTAATGTTAATGTCAAATGTAGGTTTTGTAAAAATAAAACAGAAATGTAGTAATCAATTTAGTTTTTAATCAATTTAATTTAGTTTAAAATTCAACTTTGAGATTACTTTTTCCTGCATTTTGGTTTTTAAAATTTGCTGCTTTTTACAATCAAGTGTTCTCAAAACGGATGTGATTTTAATAGGCAGCATGCACTGTATTTATGTTTATCTGAGTAATATTAACCCAAATTAGTTGCAAATTTAATTTTAATTCAAATTATGATAATAATTTAACCCAGCTGTGATTTTAATTTGATTATTTTTTTGTAGTATGTTGTGAATGAACATTCCTCACAGTTTGCTAAAGGAAGGATAAGATTGTTGTATCTATGTCCTCAAGAAGTTGCCCACTTGTGCAAAGAATTGCTCGTAGCAGCCCGTCATATTTTAGCCACAGAGCTGAGATAGTAAATGCTTTTTTTTATTATTTAAATATCTCTTGTTTTTTCCTTTATTCTAAAACATGTTTTTTTTTTATAAAGATTCATTTTTTTAAAAAAATGTTTACTTTAGATACCATTTAAAAAATATTTCTGTTTAAAATGTTCTCTGTGTGTACGAATTTTCCTTATTTTTGAGAAATTCTTTAATTTTTGCGTCATTTTCAGAATTGTGCACATCTCACTAATTATATCTAAAAATTAATGACTCTAAGAAAAGGAAATTTGTAGAAGTTTTTGTAATAGCAGCATTTTTTGAAACAAGAATAGTAAAATTATATTTTAAAAGTCTTTCTCAGTCTAAAGCAATCTATAATTTAAATACTATTATTTTAAAAATAAACTATATTGTTATATATCTATTATTTGCTAAGAGAGAGTAAAATACTTTTCATAACTATAAATAATTAGCAACTAAAAAGAGGTTTATCTCAATGGCATAGTTGCTATCAATGTTTAAATTAAAAAATATAATATTAAAAATGTTTCATTTGAAAAAATATCCTTGTATAGTTCTTACGATATTACGTAAATTAAACAATGTAAAAGTCTTAAGAAATTTTCAACATTAACAACTATTTCTTTATATATTTATTCAATGTGAATTATGTTTTCCTCCAAAAAAGTCTTACATGTCTAATTAGAACAGTAAATAAAACTTCATTTTCTAAGTGAGTCAAGTTAATAAGCCTTAAATATCCTATAAAGAATACTCGATTAAATATGTATTATTAAAAAAATTTAAAGCTTTTTGTTTTTTCTTTTTTCTTTTAGTTTATTTTGGTTTGTGGAAGTTGGAATTCAAATATTTAATTATTAGTAGTTATAGATCAACTATGTTTACCACAAAAAGGGGGGCTGTATGTATTATTAGCATTAATTTATAATAGTTTTAATATTTAATTGGTTTTTAGTTTCAAGACTGTTATTAGCCCTCCAAAGGTTGAGCCTCTGAGATAAATATTCCAAAATTTCCTTACTACCCACTTTTCTATTAATTAACAAGGGGGGAAATGATTTTATTATTTTCAGCTTAGAATTCAGAAACAGATTAATGCTCAAAGGTGCTTGAAGATCACTAGTGTTTAAAAACAAACAATTCCAGAAGAGCTATTTAAGAATTTTTTTTTAATGTATGTATTTTACTTGAAAATTAGGGGTCTTCGTGAACTGCTAGTTGCTATTTAGAGCATCTCATTTCCTTGGAGCTGAGCTTACCAAACTCACAGATTTCTCCAATTCTTAAGTTTAACTTTAAACATAATTTCAACCCAAATTACTATTGTTTTAAAGAAAATCATTCTCTAAAAGAGTTTACAATGACAAATGATATTTATTTTAGAATATTGAGTCTTGTTTATCATCCTGTTTTACTGTTGAAAATATACAGTTGTTGCAGTTACTTCTTAGAGTTTTTGAATAAGATTGCTAATCTTAATTTAACGAATTCCCATATGTTATCTGGAATTTTTTTTTAATGTTTGGTTCATTGTTATAAAAATCTATATAAAACTTCTGTTCATTTTGAAAAAAGCATGAATTCAAACTAGAAATGTTCATAAGTTTTTTGAAAGGCAAAAAAAGGGTTGTATGCTCTTTCCAAAAACTCTAAACTCATTTCCTCTAGTTATTTTATCAAGCACTTTTTAAATCATATATCAATTAACAGGTTTGCTTCTGTCATGTCCAGTGCAGTATCAATATTTTAACAGGGGGGGGGGAGCGGAATTGCAAAGAAAATTTATTTTTAATTTATTTTAACCCATTCTTTCAAAAGAAGTTACAGTTTTCTATATAGTTAGAAATTCAATTGCAGGAGGGAGATAATTAATTTTAATATAGGTTCTTAAGTTTCTAATTCTAAAATATTTGTGTTTTGTTAAAAAATTAGATTAAATTAAGATATAATCAGTTTATTTTATCTATTTACTGCTGTTTGAAATGATTAAATCATAATATGCAGAGATGCTAAAAATATCTACAATATAACAGCATGAAAAAATTACAAAAAAGTTTAATTAAAGAGATTATGTGACTTTTTAAACTCTGTTTTTGCTTTACTTAACATGCCAATATTTAATGAATTGTGTTTTACTGCAATTCTCAAAGTATCCTCTAAATGCAAATTTGTCAAATATATTATTCTTAATTAAGTGTTCTGTTATTCTTACTTGTCATCTAGTTTTATAATCTTCTAAGCCTCTGCTTTAAATTTTGCATTTCAAGTTATCTGCAATAAATTTATTTGTACAATTTTTTTTTATTTTCTTATCAAATTGTTTTAAACTGAATGAGATGATTCAGTGAGACACAAAAACATCATCAATGTTTCTTGTCCTGAAAAACCTTAGAGTTCACAGTTGTCCTGATATTCCAGATTGACGTGATAAAAAAAATGTGATCTTGTTTTTAACTTTTTGATCTAATATTCCCGATTTTCGTGTATTTTCTGATCATCCCATTTTCTACAAGCATGAACTTTAAAAGATTTGATTTGTAGAATAAAGACATTTTGGTTTTCAAACATTTTTTGTTATTTATTATTTTAATATAGATTGATAATGCTAGTAAAAATTTCAAAATTTAATAGTTCCAACTCAGGGACCGTCTATCAACTACATATATTAGAGATCTTTTATTGTGTGGTCTGTGGGCTAATAGAAGCACTTAGATTTTAGTTGCTCTTTGAATTATCTCATTTTGTTTAAAATAATAATAAACTACTTGGAAAAAGAAAAGGTTTATAGAATGACAATTTTTGTATTGTAATATAAGTTTTTTTTCTCTCCTTTCTTTTTGCAAAATAGTGTATTTCGTATCTCAGTATCATAGTAATTTTGCCTATGCATTAATTGATTCTACTCTAACTTTATTTAAATTTTTAACAACCAACATTTTGTAACATTTAATGAACTTTGTTTTAGTAGAACAAAATATACCTTTCTACTTTGTCATTTGCTTTTTTTTTAAAAATTAGTTTAACAATGTGTACTGTTCCAAAGTATATCTTGATTTTTTTTTTTGAAAATTGTTCTGATTTTTTCTTTGATTTATTATGAGGCTTGGAAAATATATTCTAAATTATAATTTTTGTTAAATGTATTATGTTTCACAGCTCTTTAATTGCCTTTTCTGACTGTAGTATTACTTATTTTAATGTAAGAATCTTGTATATTTTTAGGCCTCTTGCTTATAGTACTTTAGCTGATCTTGTTCATCATATGAGACAATATTTATAGTTGATGGATCTGACTAAGGCTGTAAATGTGCTCTCAAAAAATGTTAATGATGAATCTTTAGTAACTGCAATTCAAACAATGTCTTGTAAGCTTATTCTAAATTTAGTTGAATGCATTAGAATAAGATCTGATCGAGAAAATGGCAATGTAAGTTCTTTTTTTCTTATTAATTAAAATATACATTTTATGCCACTAATTAAATTTATTGTAATTCAAGGCAATAATGCTTTTAAATTGTGAAGAATTTTTATTGTATGAATAAAAGTTGCATTTTACTAAAATCATGAGAGTTGCTTGTGCAGTTAAATTTATTTTGTTACACTTCTTATGTCTATAAAAATATGATGTCAATAACCATGAGAATCTGGCAGGATATCAAAGCCTTATACTTTCAGCCATTTATTTTCACATTAGCTTCTAGCTATGAATTTCAACTATTTTTAAACCTTAAATATTCTTAAAGTGTATTTCAGTTCAGATTATTTCATGGTATTATTACTAGTTTATAATTCCTGATCTTATAACTAGTTTTGTTGTTCTAGTAATGAAAATTGTGCTTTGCTGACTATTAAGTCTATTGTAGAAATTTTAAAGAATTTTTTTTTTGAAAATTAGTAATTTCTATGAGAATAATATTTGTAGCAACACTAGCTCTGGTATAATATGTATGAAGCAGTAAAAAGTCCTCTATGATGTTTATTATATTTTGAAAAAAAAATTATGCTTTATTTAGGGCCGTGAGTTGTTAATGAGGAGGCTTGAAGTTTTTGGTTTTAAAATTATTGCAAAACTGCAACTGTCTGTCCTGCAGAAAAAAAGCATAAGCATACATTTACTTTCGGTTAAATTTATATAGTTGCTCATAGTACTTGTATTCAGAATAAAACTTGAAAATATGGAATCTCCTTGAAAAAAAGAAAGAAAAAAATTGTATCCACTGTTTTTTACATTTATTGATTAGTATTAGTCATTTAGAGTAGAAAAAAAACTTGAAAGATGTTTTAGAACTAAATATTGTCTTAAAGAATTTGTATCTGTTAAGTGCTGATGACTGCAAATGCATTTTAGAAATCATTCTTGTCACACACATATTTATAATTGTCATATGCTAAAAAATAATTTTTCAAAGAATTTGGAAATAGTGAACTTCTGTTTTATAGTAGACTCTTTGCTGGGTTCTTACTCATTTTGCTATTCAAGGGTTTAATTGTACTTCCATATGCTTTTATGTTTTTATTCTTTAAAATATCAAAAATTTTATAGACTAAGAAAAACCTTTTAATTGTCTTGGAATTTTATTTAAAGAAAAATAAGAGATGGAAAAATACAATGTTAGGTTGGAACCTGGAAAAATATTTCAGCCAACCTAGAAACTAAACAACCTATTTCAAATTGGACAATAGCACTAAATAGCCAAAAATGTTCAAAGTAAATAAGTTCAACATCTGTTTTTATTTTTTTCTGTTAAAATTCTGTAGTAACATTGTTGAAGTTTTGAATTTATCGAAATTAAAGTACTATTTGTGTTATCTTTTTATAATTGTTTCTGTAGCAAAAAAATAAATGAGGCAAAATCAGATCTGCATTTTCTAATAGTCCCACAGTGGACTGTAAGACTCGGTTTCCAGTAGATCACCAAAGTCAAGCATCACTGGCTGCGGTGCAGGTGGGTGACCATTTGGATCAGGATCATGCTTCCCAGACCGTCGCCAATAGCTCATTGTGCAGCTCTAGTGCAACATAAATTAACTATAACTGCAACAGCATTTTCTAATAATTAAATAATTAGAAATGCTTGCATGTGCTTTTGTTCTTTAAAATATCAGGGTTTTCACTGGATAAAAAAGACCTAGAAATGTCTGGGAATTTTATTTAGGGAAGAAAGAGTCGGGGGAATGATGCTAAATTTTGAATATTTCAAAATTTTGTAAACATTTTGCAGGACCTTGAGTGTAAATAACCAATTTCAAAATTTGCAGTAACAATATGTTGCCAATGAATTTCAAAATAAATAAGTCCAATATCTATTACTTTTATTTATTAAATTTTTTTTGTTAAAAGTTTATTGTAACATAGTTGAATCTTTTTAGAACATTAAAATTAGAATGTTAATTTGTAAAAAATACTTGGTTTAACAATTTATGGTTTCAAATTTTTTCTTAAATATAACTATAAATCCAAATCAACACTAAAAAAGTTCTCGAAAATTAACTTTTTTGTATAAATAAATGTTGGTTTTTAATCATTAGTAAGAAGTTTGATAGCAGACTGTATGATTGATATGACTCTATTAATAAATTATGTTTCATTGAGCTTTTCAGTTTCTAGTTTTTATACAAAATATTGTTTTTGTCTAGAATTTATATTTATATTTGTGTAAAACCCTTCTAGGGAAATAAAATACATTTTACAAAAATTAATATTAGGCATATTTCCTATTAAAAAATTAGTTTGAATAAAAAATATATATATATATATTTCTAAAGAAATATAATCTTGAAATTTAATGATTTCTAATTGATTTATAAACTTGAAATTTCATTGAAAATCTGTGAAAACCTGTGTTTTAATCCTATAAATGACTTGGAACTTTGAATATAATTGATGTATAAAATCTCCATTTCTGTGTATTCACAATATTTTTTTCCATTAACGGCAGAATAAATAACTTTTCACTCTGCATTCAAACAAAAGTTTATGCGCCAGAATTTTGAAACAACAGTATTTAAAAAAGCTGGCTCAAATATTTTTAGTTTCTTTTTCTTCCTAATTTTTGACATAAAATAATTTTACAATCAGCTTTAAGAATATTTTATTAATTTTTGTTCCTTGACATTAATTGTACGCGTATCCATCCATATATGTCTTGACTCATAAGTTTCAGGTTAATAAGTATAAGTTTAAATAAAATGAAAGTCAAAGTATGTCAAAGTATATCTTCTATAAGAGTAATTTCTTAATAGTTTTTTGAAAAATGTTGCAATAGATTTAAAGAATGCATTTAGAAACTTATATTTTTATTCATTCTAAATAAGGAAACAGGTATGCAAAAAAAGTCTATCATTAAGGTGTTAAAAGTACTGTAGTCACACAAACACATGAATGCTTCTGTATATTTCATTAAATCATTATTTATTAACTATTAGGAAAATTGTTATTTTGTTAGTAATTTTTTTTAATATTAGTGAAATGTTTCATTGCTTTAAATGAATATATTTTCTAATAGTTTTCTTTAGTTTCAGGCAAAATTTGGTTTTCCTGCTTCTCAGGCAGTTAATTATAGCATTGCAGAATGTAGAAACTTAGTGAAAACTTTAGTATGTTCAGCGAAAACAGTTACTTGGGGGAATTACGGCTTGCAAGTTTTCTGGCGGTAAACTTTATTTACCCCTTAGAAAATTTTGTTTTAATATGACTATAGACGTATCCGTAACCTAAATTAAGTGTTTAAAAATGTGATTTTTTTCATTTGCAAAGTATTTATATTATTTGATTTTTCTGTTATAATAACATATCCTCTAACATTTAAATATTGTACGAAATATATTTATCAATGGTAGTGAACTAAATAAAAAAATTTAAAGCAAATAAAATTTTTATAAAACTTTTACCCTAACTTTAGAGCACTACTATTTCTTTATATGAGCTTTAATATATCAATTTAAATTATTTATATGAAATGGTGAAAAATTCTTGGAATTCTAATTTATTAAACTCATTACNATAAAATTTTTATAAAAGTTTTACCATAACTTTAGAGCACAACCTTTTCTTTATATGAGCTTTAATATATCTATTTAAGTTATTTATATGAAATGGTGAAAAATTCTTGGAATTCATTAAACTCATAACTTGATACCACTAGGAAAAATGTATTCTGAAACTATAGAGATTTTATAGTAGTTGAAAGGTATGTATTGAGGTTTAAAAACGTTAACCATAGTCACGAAAAAATATTTATTCAAAGTACCTAGGTTTTTTTCATAAATATTTTAATTATTTCTTTTATTACAAGTTTTATTATCTGGTGTAGTTTAGCTACCACTAGAATTATTTAATTCCAATTTACTTGTATATAAGACATGTTAACTTGATTCTATCTGGAGGTACCTTTGGATAGATAACAGTTGACACTGTAGCCTAGCACTACATTGGTGACTTTTTGACTTGATCTGAACACACATACCTCAACAGAAATGCCCACTTTGATATGAACACTCCTTCTTTGACAGATGGAACACTGTGAACAGGTTGACTTGCTATTTGTGACTGTGACCTTGCTTTCCTTCTGCTGTTGCTACACAGCCTTGATCAAACATAACAGCAGCCCATACGCATTCGACTGCTAATTGCAAGACAAGAGCGACCGCTCTAACAACCGTGATTTTAATACAACTCTCCTGGCCTCTGGCAAAACAGCAATGAATCAACTAGTGGCATTCGTTCATTGAATTCTATCACAGATAATATTCTGGAGAGGAGTATTGTAGCATAGCTACCACTACAATCATTTAATTCCAATTCACTATTATATACGACATGCTAACTCAATTCTATCTAGAGGTACCTTTAGATAGATGACAGTTGACATTGTCGGTAGCTTATGCCCACACTGTATTGAATTTTAAATTAATTCTAATGCAAAAATGATAACAGCACTCAATGAACAGACAGAAACAAAATGTACAGACAGAAAAAGGATTTCATATTAACCGTCAGAAAAATATATAAATTTTTGAATTTATGTTGAATATCAATATCTTTTCTTTCTTATTATTCATTGAAAAAATAATTATGGTCGAATGAGCTAAGCTGAAGGTAATTAAGGTTCTGTTGAATATAATTACCTTCAGTAGAAAGTCAGTTCTTGCTACATTTAATTAAATAAAATTGAACAAAAATTATATCAAAATATTTTTAGTCATTTAATAATTGTGTTCAAAATAATTATCCCTTATTTAACAATAAAGGAAGTATTCTTTCCCTATGTAAAAATGACCCTAATAAGGTACTGGATGGAATGTGATTTTTTCCTACTTACATATCTCTTAGATAGTAAAAATAAGCAAAATTTGAAATGAGGTGATATTAATAGCTATAAATTTTTCTGAACTTAGTCCATGTATTTCCCTTTCTATTTTTTGGTACCGTTCTTAAAGTGCATCAGAAACTCAGAGATAGTTTTTTTTTTTCAAAAATTAAATAGATATAAACTATTTTTAGGTATCATACTTAAAGGTATATAGGCATATATACCTTTAAAGGTATAAGGCATATAGCCTTTTTATGTTTTTTAGTTTGACTTAAATTTTTTTTCCTTGTGACCAGAAGTTATTAAACTGTTAAATTTATTTATTAATTAGTATTCAGAGAATATTTTAATAAAGTAAATACAGTTGTAACTTTTCTTGGTTAAGCATGATTTTAAGCTTTTTTAAAGTTAAGAAAAATTTTAGATTTAGATATTTAACATTTTGCATTACATCACAAATTTTTATGAATTATTTGACTTTTTGAATCAATAAATAAGTGTTTATGAAATTTTTTCTTAATTTTCCTATTATTTTTATTATCAATACATAAAATGTGTATCAAAACCTTCAAATTGCATGACAGTTTCGAAAGCAGTAATTTATTTATATCTTAATTTATAGGCATATTTAAACTTTCTATTTTATATATATTTTGAAAAAAATATTTTTTGGTGAAATTTTAAGCTAGCTTATATTCTGTGTGATGAGACTTTAATATCAGAAAAAGTGCTTAAAATAGTTTTGTTTTTTTAAGTTAAACATTTTTTCCATGTGATTTTATGGTTTTTTTTAATGGTGTGGTTCTGTTTATGATGTAATGCATGTTATGTTTAACAGAGCTTCTTAATTTCTTATAATTTTTTCTCAAAATTTAAAATTGATTTTTAATATTTAAGAAATAAAATTATTCTCATTGATGAATATAAACCTTTATATGTAATTTTCTTTATATTTTTAGGCTATGTTTAGCTCATTTTAATGCTTTAGAAGTCTAATATTAATTTTAATCCTAAAGGGATATTTCAAACTGTTTTACATATTCCTCAATGTACATGCTTTATTGGAATTGCATTAAAGCATAGTTTATCAAAACTATTTAAACAAATTACTTTAAAAAAGTAGTTTTTTAATTTTTGTTATTTACACTGAAAAAAATATGGCCAGAATCATCCTTATTTATATATTAATACACCATTAAAATTGCATGTCTCTATGATTTTATAAAAATCTCACTTTGAATAGAGTTCCCCCCCCCCTTATTTTTGCTGCTCATTGCTGTAACTCATAAAAAAAATATAGCAAATAACTAGTGGCATACTTTCTTAATCTTTTTGCAAAATTTTTTTGTGCTATTTTGCAATGCTTCTGTTGTCACCATAGGGTGCAAGCATAAAATTTGATAGTAATATATTCCTCTGGTAAAAATTATATAGTAGTCAGAATTATAAAAAAATTTCTAAGATTACATTCTTCTTTAAAGAAAAGTGAAAGTTGTTCGTGTTTCTTCTATCATGCTATCCTCATAAAATTTGAGTTATTTTTTCCTTTATCATTATGAAAAATTTTTAAAAAAAATATTTTTTGTGTTTTATGCTATTTCTTTACAATTTAAATACTAATTTTGTCTGAATATTTAACTTGCCATCACTATTTTTTTAATAGCTGTTCCCTATCAAATTATGCATTTAATTTTGTTCCTTTATTTAAATTGTTTCAGATTCAAACACTAATCCAAGTAAGCAATACCAACCTAAAGAAACTTATTAGGTTGATCAAGTATGCTCAACGAACTCTGGATGTTTATAAGTTAACAGTCCCTACTCCTGGACAAGCTGTTCAGCAGCAACCAATGACGTAAGTATTGTGTCAATTATAATACTCAGGGGTCTGTCTAGGTTTTTCTGAGCGGTACCTATTTTGTGAAAATTTAGACATAATTTGTAAAAAATTAAAAATTATATTAAAAAATCAGCACAAAAAGATGGTAAAAATATGGATTTATCGTTTCTTACGAGACACAAAAATGAAATTTTAAGAAAAAGTATTTTGTGAAACTACCGTTTTTCCTAAAATTGAATTTGTGAAGGTACCGCTAAACGGTAGTAAATTTGGTTTGGACAGACCTCATTCTTACTTATGTGTTTTTCTTCAGAGCATCCCACTTTTGCTCATTGTAATACCCTGTATTTCACTTTAGAATTCAGGGCACTCATTTTTTTTTTATAACCATCTTTGAACAGCTGATCTAATTTTCAGTTAACGACTACTAATGTTAAACTCTGTTACTTTGTAATTTTGAACCCAATCCAGAAGACAAGAGAACTCCAGAATCAAGTATTGTAATCAGTATCAGTATGCCTTCTTTGAGAACTTTTTGATAGAACTAACCCGCATTTGTGTTGCATGGTGAGGAAAACCACAAAAACCTACCACGGTTAGTTTGACGCTAAGGGGACGCTAACCCATAATCTGTCTACCACAGAGGATATTTTGTGTCAGCACTGTGGTATGCAGAATTCATATAGCAAAGCCGGTTGCGAAATTCATATTGACCAGCCATCTCTGGGATTTGAACCCTGTTCACCTCATTGGGAGACGAATCCTCTATCCACTGAATCTTCAATGTCTCTAATATTCTCCAGTGTTGCCCAGTCAAATTTTATTTTAAAACCATTCAAAGTGTTGTTCTTGCCCTGCGTGTGTGATTTTAATATAAATGTGGCATTGCGCTCATGATAATCAAATGTGGAAATGAAATCACTAGTTTTTCTCTAACTCTTGTTTCTTTGAACTGATTTTCTTTTCTTTTTTCACTGCCATGTTTAAATGTGTGATTTCTATGGTAGTCATTAGTATCATTATTAAATTAGGAGCCTAACTTTGTGAAGTGCAAAAAAATTTTCAGAAAGTAGTACAAGAATTGAATTTAATGTCAGTTTTAATTATTTATCTTTTTTAACAGAAAATTTTAATTTAGCTACTTTTGCCAACAGCTTCAATTTTTTTTATTTTGCTAATTTCCATTCTATTAACTCCTATGGTTAACCTGCCTTTTAAGCAATTTAATCACCAAAAAAAAAGTCTTGTTTCGTATTGCAATTGTTTTATTCAGCATTGGCACGACACCCTTTGTGAACCTGCCTTTTAAGCAATTTAATCACCAAAAAAAAGTCTTGTTTAGTGTTGCAATTGTTTTATTCAGCATTGGCACGGCACCCCTTTGTGAGCCTGGGCCTTCCTCAGAAGCTTTTCCCATTCTGCCCCTCTCCCAGCAATTGAGCCTTAATTTTAGGATGGCAAAATCCTCATCCACACTGTCTTTCCATTTCTTTTTGGGCCTTCCTCTTGGCCTTTTATTGGAGGGGGTTGCATTAAAGACTCTTAATGCTGTTCGTTCTGGGCTTATTCTCACTACATGCCCGGCCCATCTCATTCTACTTTGTTTAATAGATTTAATGATATCATCACTATTAAAGATCTTATATATTTCAAAATTTTATCTTTTTCTCCAGTTGTTGTAATCGAGAATAGCACCAAAGATGATTCGTAGGACCTTCCTTACGAAGGTTGCTAATAACTTATCTTCCCTTTTTGTTAAAGTCCATGTCTCTGAAGCATAACTCAAAACTGACTTGATTAATATCTTATAAAGTAAAATTTTCGTCTTTCTTTTTATTAAGTGAGATTTCAATAATGATCTTAAACCATAGAAGCAGCGATTGGCTGCAATTATTCTTTTTCTGATTTCAGGATTAATGTCATTTTGATAGTTTATTTCTGATCCTAGATAATTAAAATTTTTTACAGATTCAAATTTAAGAGAATCTATTTCAAACAATTTAGGGATGGTTTCCATTGTACCACAATACATGTATTTTGTTTTCTCCACATTCACTCTTACACCCGCAGAGTTGACCCACAGTTATCTGACTCCTCAAAAAATAGCCATCTCCTTTTTCACCATGGGAAAATGACCTTTTCCTTCTTTAAATTGCCTTAATCATTTTTATGACCCTGGGCTCTTTTGTGCTTTTATAAAATGTCATATATTTACAGTACCATCTATATGTCCCTTAAGTTGTCTTAAACTAGCAATTATCTAGATGTTCTAGGAAAACAGATGTAAGCTTTTAAGGGATCCAAGGGGATGACTCTTGTGGACATTTACTGAGGTCATTTTGTCAAGAGATTTTTTCTGAGACAAACGTAAAACGTTCCAGTTAAATTCCAGTTTTTAGCTCATTTAATTGCGTCAATTAAATTAGTCATTTTTAATTCAGATATAAATTTCCTGTTAGCTTTCATTTTGCTCAATTTTTGAAATTAAAATTTAACTTTAATTAAGAGTTATTAAAATTATTTGCAACTTCCTTTTTTTCAAACATAAATCGCGATATCAATAATTCCCATTCTTAATAAAATATTTCTTTGGAAAACAAGAAAACAAATGTAAATTTATTTATAAGGAGGTAAGTAAATATTTGCATTAACTCATTTAATCGTTTAAATGTTATATTTATATACTGTTAGAATTCTTTTATAAGAATGGTAACATAAAGATTGTTTTTTTTTTTTGTTCGTACATAAAATTTAATTTGTTTAGCACTTTAATTGATAATTTTACTGTTTATTGTGTGCATGGATTTTGTTGTTATTTTATGTTTTTTAAATTATAAAGACATTTAAANAACGCATTTAATTTAATAAAAAAGCTATGAACATCAGCTTAGAAATCCGTAGCAATTAAAATTCATTGCCATGACTAACCATTAAAAAGAATTTTTTTTTAATTAGCAAATATGCTTTGACTTTTCCTCATTTTTCTTTCATAAAAAACAAACTATTACTCTTTGTCATAATTTTGTCACATATGATTACATAGCATCATGAATACATAGGCCAAATATTCAAGAACGAATTCTTTACAAAGTATAGCTATATTTTCTAGGGACCTGTCCATATTGGAGTAAGGCAACTTTGTTTTTGTTAATCTATGTATATAGAGAAAACATTTCTGAATATTTTTAAAATTAGGACTTTTTAAAATGTGGGTATATGCGCCGATAGAAAAAAAAGTCTATAATTTCCTTCAGTTTCCATAACGCGATCAAAAACCTTTAGATTTGAAACTTAAAAATAACTTTCATTTTTATAATGGTTTTGTCTTGAAAAGACCTTCCTTATGATATAGTAACCGGATTCAACAGGTTTATAAAATTGGTATTTTATGATTACAGTAGCCTTTACTGTGGACATGGGGGGACAATTGTAGACAACATGAATAGCTTTTTTCCCCCTAGTCGTATTTCCTCGGTGAGATGTAAATTGGTAACTGACGTACAGTGAACCAAAAAAGTAACTCCCTGAAAAACTTTTGATTTAATGATCGGATCTTCACGTTCTCAATAATTCGAGGGTATGACTTATATGCAAATTAATTAGTGCACGATATTTTATTTTAAATTACGCAATCAGACACAAAAACATACTTTCTCTGAATAAACATAACTTTTGTTCAACAGATTCGATTTTCTAACCCCCGTAATACAGGAGGTAGCTGCAATCTGGGAAATATGGTCCCAATACTTGGGTCGGGTGAGCTATCCAAAGTTTGGACCCCCAAATGTTAATTTTATTTTTTTGTATTTCACTACAGATTGAGAGCTTTTTAAGGGAATTGAAAAAAATTTTGCATACGATTATAAAATTGTTTTATCTAAAGATAATTCCATGCAAAAAATAACTTTTAGTAAATATTTACTATTTTTTATTTAATAAAGGTGTGATGTTGATCATTTACGTCGCACTAGTGCTGCACAATAGGCTACTGGCGACGGTCTGGAAAACATCCCTTGAGGTTTGATCCTCTGCAGAGGGGATGGCACACCCGCCTCGGTAGCCCGGTGACCTGCACGTGAAGTTGAGCACTTTATGGTAGAATAGTTTAACGAGGGCCAATACCGCGCACCCTCGGTCCCTACGCAGACTGATCCAAGTAGTCACCCACCTACACACTGATCGCAGCCAGTGATGCTTGACTTCGGTGATCTGCTAGGAACCGTGTCTTAACGATTAGTCCACTTCGGGACAATAATAGTCTGAAAACTTTTAAATCGTAAGGCATATATTTTTTTTTATCATTTCAAAGTATCTAATTCCACATGGAAAACACAAATTTTAACGAAATTGGTTGATCAGTTTCTGAAAAATCAAGCTTTATAAGTAAGATTTTTTTAAAATTTAATTTCTCNATAGTTTTTTTTATATTTTTTTTTTTTATCATTTCAAAGTATCTAATTCCACATGGAAAACACAAATTTTAACGAAATTGGTTGATCAGTTTCTGAAAAATCAAGCTTTATAAGTAAGATTTTTTTAAAATTTAATTTCTCAGGATTAATCGATTTCGCTGAAATTTCGTATTTTAGAGTGTGGAGAATTTGCAATGTTTTGTAATCCTATTTATAAGCGAACAAATAACTTGTTTCATAAATATATTCGCCAACATAATACATAAGTAGCTAAAATGTCGGTTACAGATGGAGTACTGAAAGTTTTTGAAAGGGCCCCCGCCAAAAACTTTTGCCCCAGGGCCCCGAGGGGTGAAGTTACGGCACTGGTTAAGACACGGTTCCCAGAAGATCACCGAAGTCAAGCACCACTGGCTGCGGTCAATGTGCGGGTGGGTGACCACTTGGATCAGTCTGCGTATGGACCGAGGGTATTGGTCCTCGTCACTGTCTGCGGTATTGGTCCTCGTTAAACTGTTCTACCCTAAAGAGCTCGACTTCGCATGCAGGTCGTCGGGCTACCAAAGCGGGGTTGCCATCCCCTCCGCAGAGGATCAAAATTGTAATGGCATGTTTTCGGACCATCCTCAGGGATGTTTCCCAGCCCATAGCCCATTGTGCAGCTCTAGTTTGACGTAAATGAACAACAATAACAAGCATATTAAAAGCGATTAGAAATATTCAGACAAATTCGAGGACTATTAAAGACAAACGTTAAGATTTTAAATATTTCAAGGTATTTGAAATTCTTCATGACAGCTATTGAAATTGAAATTTGAGGACTGTCTCTAAAATTTGAAAACGTTTGGTTACCTTATTTATTGTTCTAAATAATGTTTTCTGTCAAGCGCCATCTATCTTATTTCAATAAGACAGTCATCATTCTGTTACCATATGAGCTAAAAGCAAATTACTCTTTCATAGCAAATTATTCATTTTGCCTGTTTTGCTCACAATTTTAATTTCATTATTTTGCTTCCCGTCTTAAAATAATTTTTATTTGTACGATTTTCTGTAAAGTATAATGGCTGGTGAAGTTATTGTTGATGCTTTACCTTACATCGATCAAGGTTATGATGATCCTGGTGTGAGAGAAGCGGTAACAATTGTCGTTGCAACCAATGTTTAACATAAAATTCTTCAAAACAAAATCGATTCATTAATATTTTTTCTATTGTAGGTATTATCTATGGTAGAAGAAACTCGTCGATATGGACCGACTAAGAACTATCTTGAACATCTGCCACCTTTGAATTTGCATGCTTTTGAAGTATCAAAATTAATTTATGTTTTTATTGCATATTGCTTCATAAAGGAATTGGGGGTACCCTTGGTTTGACGTAAATTTTCGTTCACTGAAACAAAGTTTCGTGCTACCATGATGTTCTTTGCTTTCAGTGAAATCACCTTCTGGTTTACTGCAACTTTTATTTAGAGTTATGTGATTTGCATGAGGATCGTTGGTTGTTATATGTCCAGCTTGAAAGATTTTCATATATTAATCTCTGCTGCATCGCCAAGCTTGTCAGTGGCTCTCCAGAAACTAAGAAAAAAATCACTGAAAGGGACTAACTTAAAAGGTGTAACTCCTGTTCAAACATCTACATTTTTTTTTTTAAAATGAAGTGTATAATTTATTTAGTGCCTTGATAATTGTAGTTGATGCAAAAGATCTGAATACAGAAATATTTCCTCCCATTGAGGAGATATTTTCGTATCAAGAACTGTTGCGTTAACTACAATTGCCAAGGTGCCAAATAGGTTTTAAATTTGTAATTTATTAAAAAAAATAACATGTAGATGTTTGCTCAGGGGGGAGGGGGTCAAGTTATACCTTTCGAGTTAGTCCCTTTCAGTGATTGTTTTTTAGTTTCTCGCAGGCCGCTGCCCAGAAGTTGCTAAAACTTGGCGATAATTCTGCGTCAGATCACGATACGGAAATCTTTCCATCCTGTATTTAGAATAATGCAGTTGTATTTGCAGAAAAAGTTGGCCATTGTGCAATTTTGTTCACTAAAATATATTTGTAAGAGATGAAACGTATCTAAAAAATAAGTAAAAATATTTTAATACTTTTTTTTTTTTTTAAAAAGTTATGTCGGTTACCTAAATTTTAAAATGCTAGTTGTTTTCCAGTTTTGAATAGGAAAAAAATTGATAATTTAGTTTTGATATTCTGATTTGATTTTACAATTAGAATTATTTATTTTGGTATTTAGAAGTTTAAAATTTGCATTTATTTCATTTTTCTTTTTAAGTATTGTGCAAATTTCATATTAAATAAATAAATAAAAAAAAAGAAACATTAATTTTTGTGTTTTATCTATCCTACGTTTCACTATACTTGGGTTAGCCAATATTTTGTTAATAATAGTCTAGACTGAATATATTTTAGACAGATTTATTGTATAAATTTTGAACTTGTATATTTTTTTTTCTTTATTTCTTTTGATGCTTTAACTGTAGTTATATTCTATCTTTCTTCCAAGCTTTATTGTATAAAATTCAAAGTAAACTTGAACATTCATTACTAATATTTAATTTTAATCAACTATTAGCATTTCATATTTTGCTTTAAGTTTGAGTAAGTTATATATTTCTTTTTTAGACTGAAGTCATGAAAACTGAATTTGAAAGATTACAAGCAAGATTACCAATGGATGTATTGAAAATATAGGTAATTAATTTTTGTTTTTTAATAGTTATTAAAAAAATAGAGTTCTGAAGAAGGAATGCTCTGCATTATTATGGAGAATAGTCAAGCAATATACTGTTCTCATTGGAAAAGAAATGTATATCTTTCAATTACAGATTTCTCCGAACTTAAAGGTTGCAGATTTTGCACGAAACCTGCAGCAGAATTTTTTCGAGCTATCTGTGACAAAACTCTCTAGAACTAATATATTTCTGCAGGATACTTTTAATAATAACAAACATATATGTTGCTCATTTAAAATAACAAAAGCGCCGTGTTTACAAAAGAAAAAAACTATATAAATAATTTTTTTTTCACTGGGGGTTTTGCGTTCGACTGACCACCTCACCGAAACATCTGCGTGCCACTGAGTTTAGTTTAGTAGTAATAATTTTTTATTCTAATATTATGGGTGATATTCTAGCATTGTGTGGGGGGAAGGGAAATGCTCAAATTATTTGCTTCTTCGTCTTTTGTAAATAATCATCCCACTAAGAAAAATAATTAAAAACCCTGAAATCAGTAGTAGTAAGTGCCGATAAAGATATAGACGACATCACGTGAATGGGGTGCCTCGACTGCGTGTTTCATTTCGAGATTAGGTTGTTGTCATAAATAATATTGTATAAAAAATATCGGATTTAAAAACTACGGAGAAATCAATAGCAATAACTGCCAAAAATTCGATAGAATTATTGCCTTAAAAAGTAAATACTCAAATGCATGATTTGAATTTTTTAGATTGTTTGAAATGCATCAGGTAATTTAAAATCCACGTGAAAATCAATTTAAATAAAAATCCGGAAAATACAATAGAAGCATTAGGTAGATTTAGAATACTTTTGATGTAAGTTGAGTGCGTCAAAATGCATGATTCAAATATTCTGTGAAAATTTCCGTAGAATTTTTTATTTTTTTTTAACTTTTCAAAAGAAATCATTCTGCAGTAACATAATGCCGCCGTGTCACTGCGATTCTGCCACTGGGTGCACATTAGAACTACAAAATTCTTTTTTAAATATACAATTCTTTTTAAATGTAAAATTGTATGTAGTGGGATGTGAGAACCTGTTGCAATATTTATAAGAGGGATGCACATCCTGTATCCCCTGCCTAAGGACAAAAAAAAATTAAGATTGAAACATTTTTCTTAAAATAATTTTCAACCTGTTTTTATAAGTTATTGTTACTTTATTTGTTATATTGTTATTTTTTATGTTGTTTATTATATTGATACTTTTTACTTTATTTGATCAAAAAACTTGAAAACTGTAATTTAAAGATTCAGTTAAAAGTAATTATATTTTATATTATTCAATTATATTCAGTATATATCAATTTTATATATATATATATTTATATGTCTGTGTATATATATATAAAGATTCTGGTATGCATAAGCTCATTTTAATTCGCTCCTCACTATATAGATTTCCTTTCGTGTACTGTTCTGCAATTTTTTTACATTTTATTTTTTGTTTTTTGCTTGATATGTTTTATTTCGTATATATTTTTTATTGAATGTGTTCTATTTTTGTTTCAATTTTTTTGAGTGCTCCTCACACTATTGTATTGATATATTTTGCTTTGGCTATATTGATACAGTATTAGAAGGCACTCCTTTTTGCTTTTATAATTGTCTCTGTTGAGGAAGAGATTATATATTTTCTTTATTTTGTTTTCCAGATTATTAAGAATTTTTTTTTAGATAATTAAAAATTATTTTTTTTAAATACCTTTGAAAAATATTTTAATAATTTTCTTCGCTTGTCATTATTTTCCATATTTTCTCAATATTTTAATATTGTAAGAGTTTTTTTAATTTATAAATTTTAACAGGTATTGAGCTTATAAGAAATTTAACAAAATTATTATCACAGCATAAAAAAGTGTTAGGCTAGCCATGTTTTGAGTAATATATTTTATTTGGCTATATTTGTATAAAATAGCACCACTTCTTATTTTTTGGGTTACATCATAGCAAGCTGCGAATTTTTTCAAATTCATTTGTAGTTTGTTTTGTTGAAAGTTAGATTAAAAGAATGTGTTATATTGAAAACACTACTAGTATAATAGCGTTGGATGGTGCATTTTTTTCAAGCTTAGGTGTAAAAATCAGTTGGGAGTAGTAAGTCTTGTGACGAATTTTGACCCCTAGTGCCATCTGCACTTACCTTTACATGGTGAATCATCTATACTGTATAGTATGAAAACAACCATCTGCTTTATGTACTTATTCATTTGTGTCTATTACTTTAGTTTTTAAGGGGTCACAGTACATTTGCAACTTTTTTTTTTTCTAAATGAAGGTATAGTCATTCATTTTGTGGATGCCTTACATACTCCTTTAACTTATAATCAATAATTTATCTTTAAAATTAGTTAAAATGTTTAATTTTTTAAAATTTAAAATAAAATTGAAAAAATTCAAAATTTTTAAATTTTGAAGGCTTTTTTATTTTAACATATTTTTTTTAAAAAAAAATTCTAAGTGCTAACACTATTCATCTTAACAATTTTGTGCATTAGTTTTTGATTTATCAATTAGAAAATTTTTTATAGATTATTTTGTGAAAAAGTTGGAAAAAAAGATTAAAAATTCCTGTTAGGTATATATAACATGCTGTAAATATTGTAGTACCTCATAAAATGCTTATTCCATGTGCAGTTTAAATAAGTGTATTATACTTTGGATAAAAAAAAGCTTACTTCAAAGCTTTATCTTAAATAGAAAAAATTTAATTAAGATTCAAGCACAAAGTTATCATCTATGAGAAAAAGCACTTTAAAGTCTGTCTGCTGATCAAGTTTCTGTTTTAGAGCAATCAAAATAATTAAAAACTTTTTTAAAAATGTAGATAGGGAGAGGATTTTTTTTCAGTGCATTTGAAATAATTTGAAGTTTTATTATAAGCAATGAAAAAATAACAATAATTTGGTCATTTTTTGGGTACTGTGACCCTTAAGAGGTGTTTCAGAGTAGTCTTAAATAAATGGATTCAATTATATTTATTCTCAGTTACTTTGTTATTAAATGAAAATAGCAAACTAGAGATTTGAAAGAACATTTTTGTTTTTGAGAAGTGACAGAATGTATTCTAAATGCGTATGCTTAAATATCTAGTATAGGACGAATTAGGAAATTGCTGTTCACGGTAACATATTTAAAATGGTCATTTTTTTTTAAAATTAAAACTTTCAAACGATTAAAGAAAAGCTGCTAATATTAATACACTGGTTATCATAAATTAAGGAAAAATCACAAAAATAGCGATAACTCTTTCAAAAGTAAGCCAAACCGTGCAAAATTTGCATATGTTGTCCACTAAGAGTAGCTGAGTAAAATTGCAATATGCAAATTAGTGGCGCTGCACTCGGCTTACGTCATCTGCCTNTTTCTTAAAAATCCCTATTGAAATAGAATTTTTGTGCAGATTATTGCTTGTTTGAATATTTAAATATGTGTCACTAATACACAATAAAGCAAGTCTCGTTTTTAAAATTCAGTTAACTATCTTTGATGAAATAAATACTTATTACTATTCAAAATTATGAATATTCATAATACATATCATTTCAAGATAATTTAATATGAAATCGTAACTGAAAACTTTTGAACTTTTTCTATTTTGATGACTTTAAAAATCCCTAAAATTCCCTATATGTAAAATATTTAGTATATTTTGCAACAATTATCTTAAATTTATACTATTTCGTAAAATCTACTGGATTTTTTCCTATCCGTGTTGGCAGCTATGAAGATTCATTTCTGAAAAGAATTTTAAGAGACGATTATGGAATAAAAGAATGTTAATAATTTTATGTTTGGTAACAATTAGTTATATAACAATTATTTTTACATGAATACATCAGCTTAAACACTCAGAATAATGAAACTAGAAGAAGATGTGCTGACGTAAAAATATAAGCATTTCCTCTTTTTATTTTGAAAAGAACCGAGCTTTAAAATTACTTGCGTACCACGGTTAGAACAAAAATTTCACACATTTAGAAAAAGCTTTCAAAACTGTGATTTGAAAATGAGCAGTTGAAATTTTGACACATAAAATTTTATATGTGTTTTCTTTGAGCACCATCCAAAAATAATGTATTTAGGCAGGGTGCGTAGTGTTTTTAAAAAGTGCTCATTTTCAATTTTAGTTTTTTAAAAGCCCTTAAAGATGCTTTTTTCATTGGTTAATTTTAAAAAGTGTTAATTTCCCCTTTTTCAAAATGAGATTTTTCCTTTGATTTCCTTGATTTTCGCTTTGAATTATGCAAAAAGACACAGTTCACATTGTTCTATTCATTGTTTTCACAATTAATTCCACCTCAATCTATTTCAGCGTATTGTCAGTCAGTGGCGTATGAAAACGCCATTCGTTTTGCATTATTCAAAATTTCATGATTTTTGGCAATTGTCAAAAGTAATACCAAAATGTTTTTTTTTTTTTTTTTGACATGACAGTAAAAACGTCAATTTTCAAAAGCTTTGCAACCCTGTCTAATTGTGATATTTTTTTTTGAAGTGCTTAAAAATATATTTTTAGTACTTCAAAAGTGCTTAAAAGGTGCTTATTTTTTGTTGAATAACTTGGCTATGTCCCCTGTCAGGTCTCAAAATTAGCGGTTGTCAGTTGGTCTGAAATTACTAAAATTTGTCCTTTACAGCCATAAAATAATTTATCTGTTCGATCTCTGGACCAGCATTTGATGTAAAGGTATATTATGCAGGGTTGGGGTTTTAGATGTCCTAAACTTGTTTTGGGCAGGACACCTTGGTTTTACTATCTTAAACTGTCCAAAACTGACTAAAACTGTCCAAAACCTTGAACTTTGGTAATAGGTAAAAATTCAGAAAGATGTTACCATTGTGCACATAATTACAGTCAGTCAAAAAAGAATCCGAATGATTTGCATTTTTAAAAAAGCAACCTTTTAAAAATTTCCTAACGATTTTACTAGTTTAAAACGATTTTAAGAAAAAAAAAACGATCCTTTTCAGAAATTTTATCAGACCTTTCAGAAACTTTAACGTTTCATTTCACTTCAATTAAAATACGTTAAAAAAACATTGATATGCATTGAATTTGAAATACTTAATAACCTATTTAAATTAAAAATTTTATTCGAATGCATTTACGTTTAGAATCGACAACGCTCAAAATTGACGACGCACCGGCCGCATTTATGTTTAGAATCAGCATCTTTGAAATCAAAATCAACAGCTTTGAAATCAAAATCAACAGCTTTGAAATCAAAATCAGCATCTTTGAAATCAAAATCAGCATCTTTGAAATCCAAATCAACACCTTTGAAATCCAAATCAGCAGCTTTGAAATCCAAATCATCAGCTTTGAAATTCAGCTTTTTTGCCTTTTGGTTAATCTCATCAGGGTTACCAGACTCTGAAAATAAAAAATACTACGATTTTATCCAAAAAAATTCTACATGTCTGAAGCGCTATCTACCGGACTTTTTTTGAAAGCTTATGCAGACGAACACTGAGAGGGACGATTATTATTATTAATATTATTTATACTGTCTAACTAAAGTTTTTTAGAATTATATTTAAATTTATTTTAGTTGAGGTTAAAATATTACAATTAAAAAAAATTATCCTTTTGTGCAATCAGATATACGTATAGTAACTAATATTTTATCAGCAACTTCGTCATTTGAAGAGTAACAAAGAGTTGTGTGTATCATAATAATATCTCTTGTGTGTCAACAAAATTGTATAAAATTGAACCTAAATGAAAATATAAAATTTCATATTTTGTTTCATATCCTACAAAAAAGAAACGTAAAATTTGCTTAATTAAAGTGCAATTTATCTTATAGTCTACTAGTATAAACAAACTTTTTTAACATAAACTTTTATTTACTATCATTCCCTATTTACTATTATTTCACTATTATTACATTTCACTTCTTCACCACATTCATCTTTCTCCTCTTCCTTCTCTCTCAATCACATCTCTACCACATTCATCTTCCACCTCTTCTTTCTCGTTCATTCTCCGTTAAATTTCGTTTCACGATAGAAACGAAATAGGCTAAGATGGCTAACAAATGTTGCCTGTTGTAGTCATCTAAAAAAATTACAAAACATATATTTATCATGTAAATCGTGTTTTAATACTAGAAAAGTCAGCAGGGAAGTTTAAAGAAAGGTGGGATTTTTTAATTTAAATTAATTTTACTTAAGTCAGTAATTTATTAAACATTTGAAATATTAACTAAAAACTTTTTGAATTATGCTGTAAAAATTATTTATATTAAACTTAAAAAACTTGTAAATGAAATTTTATATATTTTATTTTTAAATTAATTAATAATTTGAAGAAAATTATGTATTTAGAGAAAAAATAGATATTCAGAACAATTTTTTGTTTAATTAATTATAGAAATTTTTTGAATAAAAAAATTACATAAAACTACAACAATAACACGAATCCTATTTAATATTTAGACAATTTAAATAGATAATTGTGTTTATAGTATTTGAGAGCAAGGAGTATTAAAAATAGTTGACATTTTATTTTGGAAATTATATAAACATTTTCATAAATTTGACATACTTTTAAACATTTTTTAAGGTTTACTGTCAATACAAGTAAAATCTATATTAGTTAATATTGATTTTATACAGGCAATTAAAAAACTATTAAATTATTTATCAAAACTATTAAATTATTCATTAAAAATATTAAATTGTTTATTTGTTTTGGATTTTTTATGCATCCCAGAAAAATTCCAGTTTTTTAATAGATAATTTTCTTATGTACTAAATTTTTTTTAATTATTAAATTCAATTTAAATTTAGAATGTCTTGAAAATATTGATTTTTTCTTCTTCATCAGCATTACTGTATAGTGCAGACTATGGTTTTCTCAATTAATTGCCTTCAGGCAGATCAACTTTGATTTAAATTTTTCCAATTGTTAAGATATTTTGTTAAACTTACGAAAGGCTGCGCGTAACATTACTTCCTGCGAAGGCAGGCACGGGCAATTCATCCCGCCCATTTGTGGTACAGGGGCGGGATCCTCCTGCGGAGCGCGACTCCTCTCTGTAGGCCTAGATGTTTCTGCCCGACATCGAGATGTTATTTCTCCCTCCGACGAATCGCTGCTCGAGTTTGGTCCTCTTGAGCTTGCCGAGCTTTTAGATTTTAATGGTCCAGGTCTTTTGGGTCCAGTTCCACAAGTTTTTTTGCTGGGTCCAGCCTTGGGTCCACAAGTTTTTTTGCTGGGTCCAGCCTTGGGTCCACAAGTTTTTTTGCTAGGTCCAGCCTTGGGTCCAGTTTCACAAGTTTTTTTGCTGGGTCCAGCCTTGGGTCCAGTTTCACAAGTTTTTTTGCTGGGTCCAGCCTTGGGTCCAGTTTCATTCTTATCAAATAAAAAAAAAAAC